TTGGGTCCTGTCTCTTTGCTTTTCCTCCCCCAGGTGCTAAAGCACAGAGTCAAAAGATTGCAGGCTGCAGTCTGCTTGCTCTAGAAATATACACAGACCTGATCACTTGGAAACATCAGCAGGTGGAGGAGCACCGCGAGTGTTGCTGGCATGTTGATGCCCAACTTGCATTTTCGCTTGAAACCAACTTGGATCTCCAGCCGGTCCAAGCTATTCTGGACACAGCCAGTTCTCCTGAAATATGAAAAGCCAGAGATCCTCGATAAGAACTCAATGCAGCAGTTCCTGCTGATGGCGAGGTTTGGAAAACCACCGCCGCTGCCAAAAGAGGCCGTGCGCGGGTTCAACAGAATGAAGTTGGCCTTTGCCTTCTCATTTGTTCTAGTAAACCTCTTCTCGTGCCAAAGGCAAAGGCACATGAAATAGCGCAGCCTGCAGCCTGTGCAGCCTGCCCTTCCTTATTCTTCAGCACCTTGTTCGGTTCAGCTTCGTATTGGTTGAATCGATCCGTCAATTAAGGTGGAATCGGACCCATCCGCGTCCCCATGCCCCGATCCGTCATCCCATATGGCCGCCGGGCCAGTTGCCCTTGCAGCAGCTGCGGCGCAATCTGGCCGAGTGGGGCGGCTCAGAGGTTTTGCTCTGCCGAAGTCTTCCACACTTCGAGGCTTTCAGGAACGCGGGGTCAATGATGCCTCCATCCCTGTTTCAAAGATCAGGCACTTTAGAAGACTTTAGGAAATGCGAAGGTCCCAGGTTAGACACGGACCCTAGGCTATGGACACACCATGTCGAGAAGTGGCCCGAGATGATTCCCAACGTTTGGCGGAACATGTGGCGGAAGGTCGGAACGTTGGTCCCCTCGCTTCATCCAGGTCAGGACACACCTTTCGTCACCGGATAGAACGTGAACATCAGCAGATGCATCAAGTAGCTTGCAAGTGATGCGAGCTATGCTTGATGCCAAATGCGTGGCAAGCCTAGAAGATTTGCTAGGCCGCCAAGACTACCTATATAAGACTTGTGTAGAGCTCGTTAGCTGCTTTCTGCTCCAAGCTCTTTAGTGAATGAGTTGATGTGAGGCTTGATGCGATTATGGCCCGCCTGGCCCCGAAGATGGAGCCGGGGGCCCCAGCGCCATTGGGCCCAGTCGGCTCTCATGGAGAGCTCCACCGGTGCCGTTCGGGCCGTAGCTAGGTCCGAGGGGGTCCAAGTTCCTCTCCTCGGATCGCTTGGGGTCGACAGCTTGACCTGTCCATTTAGATCACCCGGATCTCTGACCAATCCGAAGACCAACTCGGTGCATGATTCCAGGGAGTGCAGTGACACTAGCTCCACCGGCAGTGCACGACTACTCATGCCAGGCCGCTGGTGCAGGCGCGCCAGGCCCTTTGGGGGCTGATGTGGGTGTTTTTTTTTTTGAACACCTCAGCGAGCCAAACCCACGAAGCTTTCGGCGCCTGACAGTCACGTGGAGGAAGCGAGAAATCGGTGGGTCACGTGTTCCTTCCATTCACTTGGTGTTTCTCTTTTTCATTTTTTTGTGTTTTCTTCAGAGGTGCTCGACGTCTCTCTCTCTCTCTCTCTCTGCTCAGGCACCGCAGGCGCCACCTGCTCCACGTCCAGCTGTGGTTCAAGGTCTTTCAGGCGATCAGTGGTTCTCGTTGGGCGTGACGTCAGCCGCGTGACGTCCCGCGTGACGTCTGACAGACGTCCTGGTGCAGGGTCCAAGGTGCAGAGTTTCGGTCTACGGTCTACAGGGTTGGATGAAGACCTCCTTCACAGGGCTGGATGAAGATCTTCTTCTTCCCCACTTGTGTTGAGTCACGGGGTCTGCAGTGGGTGGTTCATTCCTCGTGCATCCACTGAGAGATCCAGTGGACAAGCAACGCATACTGTATTCTAACTGACAAGGTTGGGATTCGTTGTTTTCTATCTTTTTTCTCCTGTGCAGGTGCAGAGAACCAGTGCAACGCTTTCCCCGCACAAGTATATAATTAGAGGGTACATGTTGGATTCCTTGGCATTCTGTCACTATGTGCTTTGCAACGAGTCGCAGAAGAGTCGCCTTTAGGCGACTTGGGGTCGTTGCTCCTCCATCCATGGGGTTGACCCCATGCGAAGAAGTGTGTCTTCCTTCGGACGGCAAGTAGATCAGGGAGGGAGCGAACGTTTTTCAGCACTGCAAGCCGTGAAAGCCGAGACGGGGCTCTCAGCCATCGGATGGGAGAGCTTGGAGACCAGATGACCCACCCGTTGTGGTTCTTTTGTTTAGATTCAATGGCATTTCTACGCTGCGAGATGTGACATGCTTGGATTTCTATCTTGAGACACCCTTTGCAGGTGTCTCTTCTCGGTGGACCCCACAGGCAGGCGGCCTGGCGGAGTGATAGGGACTCAGGTGAGTGATGGGACTCAACGCTTCCCAGATTGCCTCATGATTCCCCGATGATTTTGTACCAGAAGTTTCTCAGTCATGATATGTCATGATATTCGAAAGAAGTTGACGTTCAACGTTCCCATGGTGATCCGTCCTCCCTGGACCGTAGAGGCTCGTTGGACATGAAACGGGTGAAGGTCCCAGAGACCGGCAGTCGGAAGTCATTTTGGAAGTCCTATTCCCTAGGGCTCCAAGCACCTTCCAAGAGGGTGTTTGCGGTGGGTTTGGAGTACCTTCTAAGGAGGTACTTGGAGCCCTAGGGATTCTTCGTTGTGTTCTTCATCTTAAGCAGTGGCGGGTGGCGATCAAGGCGAACAAAACAGGTGTTCTCCTCATCAAGGAATGAAGGACACTCATTTCAGCCATCTTCATTCCTTTCGAGTCGCACCAGACGGTCGTTTTGGGGCGATCCAGTCGAGCGTGGCCCACACGTTTTGGAGATTCCACTGGTTACCGGTCGTCTGTCAGGGTCTGAACACGATCGGTTTTCCATCCGGGTCTGTCAGGTGTTGTAGTTTGGTAGAATCAAGTCTATCAACAATGGTTTACAAGTCTTTTTGTCACATCATGTCACACATATAATATGTATATCCACATATACAGTAGATCTATATTTTGTAGATTGATCCCACGACTCTTGGGCTCGCATCGATCGTGCCACGCGACTCGTGCTAGTGACTCCGGCGAGGCTGTGACAGCTTCGCGGGCGGCTCCAGTGACCCGTTCAGTGCTGGTGCCGTGTCATCACCAGGCATGGCAGCGTAGCCGGCTCGCGCAGCCTAGGAAAGGCGTCGGGACGGGTCGTTGTGGACAGCTGTCCCGGGTGCGACACTGTCCTTCTGCGCCCAGCCCTGCCCGGTGCTGAAGCCCCGTCGGCGAGGTGAGACCGGCTCTCTCTCGGTGGGGGGGGATTTGGGGTCATTTTTCTTTCGCCAAAAGGTGTTTTTTCATCTTCTGACGGGTTTTGGAAACAGGTTTCTTTTTGAATCAGTCAGAACTGAACTTATAACTTAATGCCTTTATCACTTGATGGCATCCAGCGACAATCGCACCAAACGGTGTGCATCCAGCGATGCTGCGGCGTCTCATCCGCCGACCTTCGCCACGCCGACCGCGGCGGCGGCCCCGTGAGACGTGGTGCGACCGTGGTGTGACGGCGTGACGGAGCTTCTCCAATGGAAGCAGCGGGGCATTTGGGCGAAGGCCCCGTCGTGGCCCAGGGCTCTGGAGGCCCTGCGCCGAGGTCCGGGGCGTGGGAGGCAGCGGTCGCTCCACGAGGGGATCACCAAGACGGCCATCCATGCATGCGAAAGGAGTCCCTTGGACCGGTTTCCAGTCTCGTTCGCACCAGCGGCTTCAGAATCACCAGCGAAGCAGCGAACTTCTCAGGCATCCTCCTTCATGTCCACCTTCTAAAGGTGTAGGTGGATGGGGTTGGCGCTTTTCGTGAGGCCTTGGGGTAGGTGTTTTGCATGACTCATATGACCCATCCGACCTTGGGCATGAGATTGGCATCCCATTTTGGAATCCCCAGGATGCATTTGATGTCGTCTGCCAACCGGTGTCTTTTTTTGGCACAAAAAAAAGCTTCTTCTTACTAGTAGAAATGCACTTGTTACTACAACCTAGTAGCTTCTTGTTACTAGTAGCGATGCACATGCTACTTGTGGAACCAAGGTCGTCACTGGCGTTTTGCTTTGGCTCTTCTGGGCGACTCTGCAGACGTGGTGAGCTTCAACAGCGTGAGCAATGCAGCTCGAGAGCGCTGGGAGTTGGTGCTTGTGCTTCAGCTCTGCTTCTTGGCCATCCTTTTTCTTTCACTTCAGAGGATTTTGGAAAAGGGAAGTGCTAAACTGCAAGGAGCTTGGCTCGTGAGAGTTTCATGGTTGCGAGCTCTTCCGTTTGACGCTAAGCAAACCCACCGCAAATCTCCGCAAGTGTCACTGGTGTCTTTTCCACGTCAGAAGAAGAGACCCGATGGGGACCTCGTAAGGCCTGCTGCAGTTCTCACTTCAAGGAGCGGATTGGTTCGCGGGCTGGGCTGGCCAGGCTGGGACGTGCAGACACGGCAGACACGGCAGACACGGAGACATGGGCTTAGCCGCCAAACAGAGCGAAGACTACGTGCGGTTTGAGAGGCGTTGGGAGAAAGACACTGACACCGGCTGGACCCCTCACCACGCAGCTGAATCAAGAGGAATTCCCATGTGAATTCCGGCGTTTCGGTGTGTGCAGAAGAACTCGGGAGCAGATCAACGGGAACTTCTTCCAAGTGATCGGTTTCAGTTTGTTTTGATGGAACACCTGAGCCAAATGCAGCAGCTTGTTTACGGCAACTGAAACTATAATCTTCGGCTATAGCAACCATAGGAACCTCATGAACACCCAAGGGAAGAATATGGAAGAATATGGAACAATGATACACTTCACAAGTTTTGCTGGGTGCCTGGTCTTCGTCACCGTTTCTTTCCGAGGAGATGTTGTATCTGATACCGCCGCCATCAACGCCTGCGGCAGAGCCACCGAGTGGCCGCGGGCCGTCCAATTGAGCGAGAAGCAGATGGATGTGGATGTGCCGAGACTGCGAGCACTGGGAGATGGGCCGAGACTGGGAGGCCCAGAGGTGGACTGGGAGGCCCGGAGGTGCCCAGAGGACCTGGTGAGAAGACCTGTGCCACCGTGCCACCCTTCAGCATTCCGACAGTTCGTCATGTGGATTTGAAGTCTTTGGCACCGTCTCTGTATAACGCCTTATCGTAGTATACAAATATTGACCTTCTCAATCTTTGGAGTAGCGTTGTAGCACTTGTGGTCGCTTCAACATGGGGGCATTACTACTAGTTACTAGGAGCAAGGACGCTACTAGTAGCTCCTCGCATCGCTACTAGTAACCAGGGCATCGCTACTATAGGAGCGGACGCTACTAGGTTGGGGGCCACCGCTATTGGGAGCAAGAAGCGATGGCCTAGTACTCATTTTCAAGCTTCGCAGTGCTGGACTCGGAGATGCGGCGCCGAGCCACACCGCACCGCGCACTTCCGACGACGGCCCCGACGAGGTGATTCTCTTCAACGCGCTGCTGGGGCGGCTCCCGTGGCACACGGCGGCCGTGGCCCTGGTGCGGGAGCGGGTGGATGCCGGGGTGCTCAGGAGGACAGCCGAGTGGCACTCACGTGGCAGGGTGGAAGTGGATAGGCTTGTGCCATGTGGCGAATGGGGTTTTGTTCGGAGTCAGCAGGAGTTGCATTTGCCGGGCTTTTTAGGGCAAAACGCCCAACTGCATGTTGGAGCCCAATTAATGGACTTCATGATGAGTATGAGTACTGGTACTATGATGATGTCTCGATGCTTGCACCTCACTGTCGACTTTTTGCGAGTCCAAAACCATTCTTCGAATTCTCCGACTCGGTGACCCAAGGAATTCGGAGCTGAACCTTCACTTCTTGTTTGTCCCAAAAATGGTCGAACTGGACCTCTACGGTGTCCGATTTTGAGTTGAAATACTTCAACCAACCTCATGAGTTTGGGTCCGCCTGCACTGCAGATGGTCAGCTTCAATTCTGTCATCGCCGGTGACACCAGCTGGGCTGTAGCGCTGAGTCTTTTCAGGAAGTCGCAGGACGGCAGAGAATCCACTCATAAATGGTTCAATGGATTAAACATCAATCTATATAGTGGTTTAAAGCAAGTATAATGGTTTAATGAGTATTAGATTCTTTTTACATCATAGCTATTCTTTTTCTCGTTTAACACGTGTAGCTTGGGTTCTTGAGCTGCACAGGCTTAGCAGCTTGGCTAGCAGCACAAGCTTCGACAGGAGGTCCAGGAAAGTGCGTTTGAACATCCCTGAGCTGATGTGATCAGCGTCAGGAGCTTCGACTGCGCGGTGATACCATCACCACCAACACCTTGTTGGCAAAGGCCACTCCGTGCCGAAGACGCCGAAGACGTTGGAACCATGCAATGCTGCAACACAAGCAGAAAAGCAAAAAGGATAGTCAAATCAGCATTGCAGCATTGTTGATTGGAAGGGACAGGTTCTGAGACTTTGGTTTTCTTATGTTTTCTTCCTTCTCTACGTGAAGGGTGATGAAGACATATATAGGTGCCTGTTTTGACATCGACATTCTTTGGGAGTTTCACATGTTGTGCACAAACAGACACATCTACACATACACACCCACATGCACACGCCCACACGTAGACCCACACACACACACACACACACACGCGCACACGCACACACACACACACATGTTGTTTCACATATCCATGATCACTCACAAACGACCGACCCATTGCTTTCGACCCCCCACCCCTTCACCCCCTCGTCCTCCTCGCCGATCCACCGGGAGGTCTCGTGGCATCGGGGCCTGGTGCTCCTCGAGAGCAGCGGAGCCCATCGACTGCGACGGAACAGGTTGGGGGTCCGCGGGCGGGTCAGCGGAAACAGGCTGGGCGAACGACCTATAGGCCTACTGTCAAAGGGATCGATGAATCAGTGGATGTGAATGGCGACCATGGTGTTCCATGTTGTTCTGTCCGATTCTGTCCCTCTTTCGTGTGAAAGAACATCCAGGTGCCTTTTGAAGGGGTTCTTCTTGGTGGCATGAAATCCATTAATGACCCATTGTTGACCCATTTAGTACAGGAATGACGAACCCATTTGTTGTTGCCTGATTGTCAGGATCACGCACAACACGGCCATTACTATCTACGAGAAGAGCTTCTTGGCATGCAGAGTTTTGGACTCTCAATCTGCTGAGAATGTTGGCTGCACCAAATATTGACATCATCCGCTAAGCCGCTAAGTCCTCTAAGTCATGCATTCAGCAGCTAGGTCATGCCGACCTTGAAAATGGTTTCCATGTTGGATGGTTCATTTCCTCAGGTTTCCAGTCTGAATACGCTGTTTTCGTTCATGGCTTCCTCCTCTAAGGCTCTATGTGGCGATTGGCCTTGAGCAAGCTGAAGGCAATGGTGAGTTTCATGACATGTTTTGAATTCGGCGGGCTCTTCCAAGCAGAAACCATGCAGCTTTTAGCTGTGATTGATTCACTTTGGGAAGGTTCAGCCGGCGACTTTCAGCTACCATGTCGTATTCGCTTCTTGTAAAGAATCTTGGTACCAGCCGTGCCTCAAAAAACCACAGAAATGACCATCTGGCAGAGTGTCTGGTTCTTGCATGAGTGCACCTCTTCTGCCAGGGGTTCCAAGCTGACTTGATCTCCTTCAATGCAGCTATCAGTGCAGGCGAGAAAGGACTGCCGCTTTCGCCGGTCGATGCGAAGTGTTTCGCCGCTGAAGCGGTGTGAACACCACCGGTTCCGTGGTGTGAAAACCACCGGTGAAACCACGCGCATGTGGCGAAGGTCACTTGTGGTTAATGACGAATGGATTGACATGTCTAGACTTCGAGAGACCACGCCTGGAGGGTGAAGGGGGGTGGGGCGCAGGGCGCAGGTGGGGCAGCTGGTCGTTGCGCTGCACCGATTTGTTTCCGTCAAATGCTGGGCGCTTCGGTCAAAGCGTGGCAGGAATGCAGCGCAGGGGTGAACGACTGGCCAGTGGGAGTGGTGGCATTCAAGGAAAAGAACGAAGAGAGAGACATTTGGGATATATATATATATATATATCTAGAGAGAGAGAGAGAGAGACGAAGAAGAGGGTAGTTCGAGAAATCCCAGAAATCCCAGATAGATCAATACCTTCTTCTCTACTCTTTCTCTCTATCTTTTTGGAGGATCCGGTGAGGTTGACCTTCGACCTGATCCGGCACATCGGAGCGAACGGCAGGAGATCAGTGGCCCCTGTCCTTGCATTTGCATTGGTCCTTGCGAGCTTCTGCCATGGATGCAGATGAATCTCTGGCCCAAAGGGTTGATGGGGTTTATGGATTTCTGCAGCAAAGCTTGGCATATTTGGTTGCAGCATAGCAGTAGATCTTGTCTTGGTTTCAAGGTCAGGAACTTTGAGATGTATTCAACAGTTTTGCTATTCAATTTTCTGACAATCATCGCGGAATGTCATTTGGTGAGTTATATACCTCTTGTTTGACAGGAACAGCAGAGACCAGAAAATCATCAAAGCACTCAGCCACATAGCTTGTCAGAATCCTAAGCCCACCGCACGATTCATGACAATTGACTTCTACCTGCTTCTACAATTGAGTGGGCAAGGGTTCAAACAAACTGGTGCGCGCGAATGATGCTTCTTCATTGAAGGTGGTTTCTCCCCGCCCCCCCCCAGTTTCCAATCCAATCGGTGCATGGTGAGCGAACCGGGGGAGCGAAGAAGGGCACGGGGACACCCACCGCTGCTTTTGAACATGGTGTCCACCCATGGGGCCTGGGGCGGCCTGGGGTGAACAGCTTCTGTTCCTTCCATTCTGGTGTAATTCTTTGAGTGTAGGGCTAAAATAGCCGGCCTTTCAAGGCCAATGAAACCCAGCTGGGAGAGAATCTGAGGTGATCTCAGACTGTGCCGCCATCAGCGCTTGTGAAAAAGGCCAGGGGGACACGTGTTCTTTCTTGAGATGAAATGATTTGCTCCAAACACATCGCCAAGCCTTTCCTCGGAGCTAGGAGCACCACGCATTCCAACAATCCAACCAATTCCAAGCTGGGACTTCCTTTCCAAGGCAAAGTCAAGGCCGAAGGTCAGGGCGGCCAGGATGCTTTAAGAAGCAAATGGTACCGGTGGTACCTTTGAACCATTCACCGCAATGGTGCTAGAGGAGCTTACTCGATTCCACAAGCATTTTATGGTGGTTTGTTGGAAGGGACCTGATCTGTCTTGTTGACGCATGGTTTTTCTTCCGTTGGCAAGAGCCGCGAATATTTGTCAGGGGGATCCTCATTCTTTCAGGCCCTCTTCTGTTAGGGGCCAAGCTGCCCGAGGCTACCGCTGGAAGCAGGCCCTTGCCTTGCCATGCCCTTCTACAGTGGGCTGGAATGCGGCCATCAGCGCCTGCGAGAAGGATGGCTGCTGGGACTGCCACTGCTGGGACCACAGAGGTGGATGACCCTGGGTAGACTGGTCGTTCTCTCCCGCACCGAAGCCCGGTGCCTGGGAGGGAGACCCCTGTTTGAGCTACCAACTGGCAGGTTTCAAAACCTGGTGGAACTGGAAAACGACCTCGGACAAGTTCGGCCTCCTTTTCAAAGCCTGGTGGTCCTCCTTCAACATCCGTGCCTCGGTTCCGTGGAAGACCTGGAGTTGGGTTCCCAGGTTCCCACGCCCCGCTGAAGCCGCCTTCTTCACCGATGAGCGCCCTCAGGTGGTTCCAGTTGTTTTGGAGATGAGCCCCATGCAAAGCGCTGGGAGACTGAACATGCTGAGGTCAGTGGGCTTGGGCTTTGGAAATGCTGCAATCCATGTCAGGCGAGCCCTGGACCGGCGCAGAGCGGAGCAGAGCGGCCACCCGCGCGAGCGGCCCCCCGTCTTTCCTTTTGACTTTCATCTCCTTGCTCTGGAGTTATGGTGCTTTATGGTGGGGACGGGATCCAAACATGCCTGAGAAGGTGCCAAGTGTCACTTCGTTTTACTGACACACTCTACTGACTGGTGCGAGCTTCGTGAAATCAGGCTGGCTGGATCCAGAACCGGCATCCCTAAAGCCGGGTCACCCCACCCTGATTCCCCACCCCGTCACACCCGTCAGTCCGCCCCGTTCCAGTGTCCGTGGGCGTCGGTCGAAGCGTCGCCAGGCGCTCGCTTCCAGCGGGACGTGATCTCCTACAATGGCGCCGCGAGCGCGTGTGAGCGGATGGCTGCAGTGGAAGAGACCTGGGAGATGGCCCTGTGCTTGTTCCAGGAGGACGTGGTGAGCGAGCGGGGCTTTTTTTGGGGAATTGAAAAGAACAGAAAGGTCACAGTCTAAAGGGCTAAAGGCCTACAAAAGAAATCTTCGAAAAAGGAGTGTTCTTGATGGCTCGTCATCTACCATCAAGCACAGGCAAGCTTGTTGATGGCTCAGGTTTTGGACTGAGAGGACTGAAAGGGGAAGAGCTCTTTCTTTAGGAGCTGGTCAATAGAGCTTCCGAGGCCTCGCTTCCTGTCAATCCTTTCACTGAATCTTTTGATGTAGACGGTCGATTCACAACGCCCCCCCCTAATTGGATGGCAAAGATGCACCTCTCCATATACTCCACATGAGGGCTTTTGTTCATCCACCGTCCGCACCTTGTCCTTTGCTTCGTTTTCCAGGCGAACCTGCTGCGTGTGGCGGACCCCATCACCAGTAACAGCGTTTTGGCCGCCTGTGCCCGCGCAGCCGCCTGGCCGGCAGCCCTCAAACTGGGCTGTGCAGCCGGTGATTGGGGGACCATTGCGGCCAATGCCGTGCTACGTGCCTGTGCTTCAGGCCGGGAGATCAGGCGAAGCGGTTACAGTGGTTTCAGAGTAGATGGCACAGCATCTAAGATGTCTTTTAGATGGGATCCCATTTTAACCACCTCTTGGGGATTGTGCCATCGAGCCTCTGAATCCACAGTACCCTCTTGATGGTCCAACGGACCGGTCACCGGTGCTGCGGACCGGTCGGACGGTGGCAGCTGCATGCCTTTGGTGGGGGATAAGGTTCGGCTGCAGAGTGGCCTAACATGAAGGCTTGTTAGCTGTGAGTGGCCTACTTCCAAGCTGGACGAGGAGCTCAATCAGACAAGCAGAACAACACACACAGAATGGTGAGCGATGCAAAGCCAAGCAGGCTTTCCATCCCTGTTGATTGGCTTCATGGTGATTTGACCAACACACCAAGTGTTTTTGATGCCCCGGAGCAATTGACAGTTCTTGGTCATTGAGTGGTAAGCTGTCTTTTGTCGGGGATTTGTTTGGAATGATGCTGATGGAAGCAATGTTCTCACGCAAACTTGACCGGTTCCTGGTTTTAACAAGCCCTACCCACCAAGGGATTCTGACTGAACTGGATCAGGCCTGACTGAACTGGATCAGGCCCTTGGCGCACAGTTGGCCGCGTGTGGGGCGCATGGTGAGGAGCGGCCATGTGCCCGAACCTTTCGGTTGCGCGATGGTTACACCATGTATTGGGAGATTGAGGCCAACCCACCACTTGGTGGATGACAATGAGACGATGCGCTAAAGTGCTCATTGGTCTCCCAATCTAGTGGCTCCGCTATGCCAGAAGGGGAGGCCCTCTTGATTCCATGATGCAGGAATCTTGCAATTCGGATGGTGTATGAAAGGCGTGTGTATCTTCCTGTAAGATGTGCAATGAGTGCTACGTTGCTGGGCTCAAAATCGTGGCAAGGAGTTGATCTGCACGTCCTGCTTCCACCAAAGACCTTGGGTAGAAGCTGCTGAGACGTGGCTTGTCATGGTAACATGACTCTGTCTTGCCTGCGTCCATCTCGGCTTGCGAGTTTCATTTCTATTTTTTATTCACGCGTGATGTTTCTCGTCGCCATTTGACTTTTTAGAGCAGAACTGTATTCCAATGATATCATGTAGACTGTGGATTAAGAAAACCCCTCCAGATTCAGGGGTCCTGTTTTTGGCATCTCCAATATAAGGATCTATAGTCTATATCTATTTATCAACCATCAGCATGTGAGGTCTCGTTTCACACACTCTGCAGCTGCTCGGTGACGCGGAGGGGAGCTGTGAACTCCCCCCGTTAAATGGCCTCGTTTGCCGCAATCGATTAGTGTTCAGTTGATTTGTGAAGTGTTTTTGATGCCCTGAGAAATTGACACTTCCTTGGTCATTGAGTCATTGAGTGATAAGACAAAGTGTTTTTCGTGTGGGACTTGTTTGGAATGATGCTGATGGAAAGCAATGTTCTCACGCAAACTTGACCGGTTCCTGGTTTGAACAAGCCCTACCCACCAAGGGATTCTGACTGAACTGGATCAGGCCTGACTGAACTGGATCAGGCCCTTGGCGCACAGTTGGCCGCGTGTGGGGCGCATGGTGAGGAGCGGCCATGTGCCCGAACCTTTCGGTTGCGCGATGGTTACACCATGTATTGGGAGATTGAGGCCAACCCACCACTTGGTGGATGACAATGAGACGATGCGCTAAAGTGCTCATTGGTCTCCCAATCTAGTGGCTCCGCTATGCCAGAAGGGGAGGCCCTCTTGATTCCATGATGCAGGAATCTTGCAATTTGGATGGTGTATGAAAGGTGTGTGTATCTTCCTGTAAGATGCTGGGCTCAAAATTGTGGCAGGGAGTTGATCTGCACGTCCTGCTTCCACCAAAGACCTTGGGTAGAAGCTGCTGAGACGTGGCTTGTCACGGTAACATGACTCTGTCTTTGCCTGTGTCCATCTCGGCTGGCGAGTTCTTTTGTATTTTTTTAACGCGTGATGTTTCTTGTCGCCATTTGACTTTTTAGAGCAGAACTATGATATCATGTAGACTGTGGATTAAGAAAACCCTTCCAGATTCAGGAGTCATTTTTTTGGCATCTCCAATATAAGGGTCTATAGTCTATATTTATTTATCAACCATCAGCATGTGAGGTCTCGTTTCACACACTCTGCAGCTGCTCGGTGACGCGGAGGGGAGCTGTGAACTCCCCTCGTTAAATGGCCTCGTTTGCCGCAATCGATTTGTGTTCAGTTGATTTGTGAAGTGTTTTTGATGCCCTGAGCAATTGACAGTTCCTTGGTCATTGAGTCATTGAGTGATAATTAAGACAAAGTGTGTTTCGTCTGGGACTTATTTGGAATGATGCTGATGGAAAGCAATGTTCTCATGCAAACTTGACCAGTTCCTGGTTTTAACAAGCCCTACCCACCAAGGGATTCTGACTGAACTGGATCAGGCCTGACTGAACTGGATCAGGCCCAGGCCCTTGGCGCACAGTTGGCCGCGTGTGGGGCGCATGGTGAGGAGCGGCCTTGTGCCCGAACCTTTCGGTTGCGCGATGGTTACACCATGTATTGGGAGATTGAGGCCAACCCACCACTTGGTGGATGACAATGAGACGATGCGCTAAAGTGCTCATTGGTCTCCCAATCTAGTGGCTCCGCTATGCCAGAAGGGGAGGCCCTCTTGATTCCATGATGCAGGAATCTTGCAATTCGGATGGTGTATGAAAGGTGTGTGTATCTTCCTGTAAGATAGTGCAGTGAGTGCTATGTTGCTGGGCTCAAAATCGTGGCAAGGAGTTGATCTGCACGTCCTGCTTCCACCAAAGACCTTGGGTAGAAGCTGCTGAGACATGGCTTGTCACGGTAACATGACTCTTTCTTTGCCTGTGTCCATCTCGGCTTCCGAGTTTCTTGTTTTTTACCCGTGATGTTTCTCGTCACCAATTGACTTTTTAGAGCAGAACTGTATTCCTATGGTATCATGTAGACTGTGGATTAAGAAAACCCTTCCAGATTCCAGAGTCCCTTTTTTGCATTTGCAATGACTCCAATATAAGGGTCTATATTCATCAACCATCAGCATGTGAGGTCTCGTTTCACACACTCTGCAGCTGCTCGGTGACGCGGAGGGGAGCTGTGAACTCCCCTCATTAAATGGCCTCGTTTGCCGCGATCGATTAGTGTTCAGTTGATTTGCATCCTGGTGATTTTGAACAACACATGACGTGTTTTTGATGCCCCGGAGCAATTGACAGTTCCTTGGTCATCGAGTCATTGAGTGGTAAGACAAGCTGTTTTTCGTCTGGGATTTGTTTGGCATGATGCTGATGGAAAGCAATGTTCTCATGCAAACTTGACCGGTTCCTGGTTTGAACAAGCCCTACCCACCAAGGGATTCCGACTGAACTGGATCAGGCCTGACTGAACTGGATCAGGCCCTTGGCGCACAGTTGGCCGCGTGTGGGGCGCATGGTGAGGAGCGGCCTTGTGCCCGAACCTTTCGGTTGCGCGATGGTTACACCATGTATTGGGAGATTGAGGCCAACCCACCACTTGGTGGATGACAATGAGACGATGCGCTAAAGTGCTCATTGGTCTCCCAATCTAGTGGCTCCGCTATGCCAGAAGGGGAGGCCCTCTTGGTGTATGAAAGGTGTCTGTATCTTCCTGTAAGATGTGCAGTGAGTGCTACGTCGCCGGGCTCAAAATGATGGGTAGGGCTTCTCCTGTTGGTTTCTTTCAGAATCCCATCCTCTTCCTTTAGGACTTCAGTGGCGTCGGGCGCCGCTTCTGCTGGTCACACTGTGGGGCCGCGCCAACGCTGTGTCCTTGGAGGCGGCGGTGGCCGTCTCTGGGACTGGGGATGAGGAGTGGATGGAGTGGATGGAGATGGGAGAGGTTGGGAGGGGATCTGGAGATGGGAGAGGGCATCTGTGTTTTTTTTTTGTCTATATATCCGTCTTGTTGGCATCGCAGCTCGAAGATTGCAGGGGCAGAGGTGACCTTGTTCTCTTTCCCTGAGTTGTTGGCCAGTCGAACTGTGAAACCATGTGACACCTTTCGGGCGCTGGCTGGCCCCTTTTTGCTGTGCCCCTCGGCCGAGGCACACCATGCTGCGATGCAGTGGTCCATGGCGCTTCGTTGTCTCACACAGACCCGCAGCCACGTACTGGACCTGTCCTGGTGGAAAAGGGCCACCGGTGCTGGGACTGAGCACCGGAGCGCAAGACAAACCCAAGCGCAAGTGAGGTACCCGTTCATGTACCCAGCTTTTGGATCTTAGATAGCTCTGAATCCTTTCCCGGAACCGACGCGTCTGGCCAGGTGTGGCAAGGACCACGTCCGGAGCCAAGGCTCCAGGCTGCACCACTGGGACTTGGGCCGGCGGCCTCAGCGATGGCGTGGTTCACCCCTTTCAGAACCTGCGAGAAATCTTTGAAATCCACCGGATCCCTTGGGTGACAGCTTTTTCTTTTTCGGAGTTGATGCGCCAGTCCCCAGTCCCCTCGGGCTCGAGGCCGATGAGACCGACAGCGAGATCGCAAGGACGGATCCGAGAAGGAAGAAGTCGATCGATTAGGGACCCATGAGGGTGGTGATCTGGACACCTTCACAGCTCTCAGGTTGACACCTCAGAGTTTGGTGCGGGGATGGATGGAGATCTATACACTGGGTGGACGTCTCCCCACAAGAGACCGACTCCTTCTCACCTACAGAGGGGTTCCATGTTGGCTCTGGTGATTGGGGGGGGGGTGAGTTGGGGCCTCCAGTTCTTTCGTGCACTCGCGTTGGGCTCGGAACTGGTGAGGCTCCACGCCCGCGGACGCGGGCTTGGAGCCCGAGGCGGGACCGGGACGAGTGGACCAGGTCTGTTCAGGTCAAGACATTTCAAGCCGAGCTTCCATTCTCCTTTTGTCCTTTTTCCGCCTTTTGGTTCTGGTGGGCGGGACGAAGACATGCGCCACCACTCAGTGTGCGCACAAACTGGCAAGCACAAGAGTTTCATGGTGGGCACCTACTGGATTATTTGATATTAAAGTAGTTGAGGTGGAGTTGGTTCAACAGTCAATCCGTACTGGAATTCTTTTCTGAGAAGAAACTTTGTGAAGTTCCAGTTGTAAACCTGCCTGGTTGATGATCGATGCACCATTTTTTTTTGCGCGTGTGCGCACGCGCGTCGCCAGGATGTGCTTGGACGGCAAATCAATGACTTCATCAAGGCGATGGACCGCTGGAACCAGAGACCTAGGTCTAGGTCCCCACTAGCAGAACATTTGGAGCAAATCGATCAAAAATCATTGCTTCTCAAATGTGTGATTTTTTTTTGGAGGTGAATTGGAACCCAACCACTGTACCTTTGCGACTCATGTCTTCTGCGCCACCAGTCTGAGTCTAGGCACGGTTTGGCAGCCAAAGTGCACGTGCAAGCGCCCGGCGGCCCGAGGAGGTAAGACAGATAAGACAAGCATTTGGCACATCACTCCTCAAGGACATTAGATGGTCTATACAATATTTCTAATTTTTCTTGAGGTTTTGCACTGGAAATCGAGGGGAGGCCTGAAAGTCCAGATTGGAATCCGAGAAAGACTCCGAAGTTGTATGCAGCAGTTGCAAAGCCCGGAAGTAACCTGGAGTATCCCGCGGAGAATCACTATCCCATGCAAGCACATCCTTGGCCCCAGGTCACTTGCACCTGGGACCACGGTGCTTATTCCTTCTTTGCATATCCATTCAGTTCATGGAAACCCTCTTGCACCATTGGTGCAGTGCTCATTTTTCCCATCTTCTGGGACCAGTGACGAGCGCGGGAAGTCGCGAGCACGACGAGCGCGGGAAGTCGCGAGCGTCGTCTTCAGCCCTCAGGCGCCCCTTCGAACCGTGTCTCCATGTCGAGTCGTTGGCCCCGTGGCGGGGCCGCAGAAGTGGGGCGGATGAGGGGGCCGGCCATGGGCAAAGAATGGGATGGACTGGGATGGAACAAAGAAGGACACACTTCTGGTTTGGGTTTTCATGGATGTGAATGTGATCTGTGAGACAGTGATTTTCTGGAGCTTGGAGGAAACAGCGAACACGTGATACAGTTCTTTTTTCTGGCCCGGGAAAGTGTGCGTCGCCAGAAGCGGCACATTGACTTGTTTGGGAAAGATGGGCCGCGAGCCCGACATGCTGAGAAGTGGGACAGCTTGCAGGGATTTTTGGGATTCAGGAGCAAGTTCCTTGGCTGAAGGAGCACTAAAATTGTTTGTGGTGGTCTCCAAATAGATAGAAGAGGTTTCCAATACCTTTTGAAAGGGATTTTACTTTTCTATCTATTTGGGGGTCTATACACTACTCACTTGAGGACGTTTGTTTCAGTCTTCTAAGTAGTGGTGATTTTTCGGAGAGCTGCACAGCCGGAACTCCGGCTTTCGGAGTGTCCGAGGTCCGCACTCGTTGGACCATCACCCCGTCTGCCCATGGCCTCAGAGAGTTGGAGAAGTTCGGAATTGGACCGTTTCGCATATATATATATATACTAGGCCCTGATGAGTTGGTACTTGCCGAGCGACTATGCTCCACAACTCCTGTCTCTCTAGAGCCTAGTATATATATATATAGATACATTTAGATCCAGATAGTTTTCTCCAGCAATTGCCGATAGATTTGGTCCCAGACACCTGCCCATCACTCTCTCCGGGACGGATGCATGAACAGGTCTTCATGATGCTTCAGCAGGGGGTTACGTTTGCTATCCGGCTATCCCAGCTTTCCGACATGAAACCTTGCAAGGAACATGTGCCGGGCCCCCGTCTTTTGGATGTTGCACCCTGCACCAACGCGGTGAACCCCCTCGCAGGGCCTGCCGCCCTCCGCGCCGGACGCTGCTTCCACCGCCCCGCGCCTGCGGGCGCGGTCCACGGAGGTCCGTCGCGAAGGTGCGGGAGACCCCGGTGGCCGGTTTGGGTGGGTGAGCTGCAGCTGGGTGGCCCCATCCACTGGGTTGTTTGGGAATGGGATATCATGTAGACTCTGGATTCATAAGCCACCCCACATATGAAGAGGTTTTTTCATGCGTCGAGCTCTCATGATGGAGCAGTTGTGCACCAGCCAGTTGATATGCAGACAAGATTTCCGAGATGGGATTGGATTCAGGATCCAAAGCTTTTTACTTGGACGTTGAATGCCCGTATTGAAAGTCCACAAGGGTGGCTTTCACGGCTTGACCCAAGAGACTTGTCCACCTTCTTTGATTTCACCACTTCGCTTCAATGGCGTGTTGATCCTAGTGTTTCCACGGCCTTTGTCGAATTCGCATTTTTATTTTGGAAGAGAGGATACCATATTCATGCATGTGCTGCAAGTGATAAGACGTTTCGTGATTTGACCTTCTGGCTCCGAAGGGCACTTGTCTTTGTGAACACGATTTCGGACCAGCAGATCTTTCCTGGCCACACGGACCAATACAAGCTTAAAACAGAAGGAAAGGCTCTCCCTCACGGAGTCATCGTCGGCGCTATTCCTCGTTTTGCCATCGATGAACTCACTGCTTTTGCCAACCTGTGTGCAGATGGTTGCTCCAAACACTTGTGTGAATTTCAGCTGTTGTAGCCAGGGTGTATTGCGTACAGTTGATGCACCGTCGCTGCTGTTTCGGCTGAACAGGGCCCTTGAGCTGATTCGCTGCTGCGAAAAGGAACTGTGCGAGATTCAAACTGGTAGCGGAGCAGGTTCTGAAGGGGCACCCTCAGGATCTGACTCACCCGGGGAGACTCGCTGGATCCAAAACCGTTGAACCCAATTGCGTGACCCTGCGCGCAATCCGTCGAACCGTTGTAATTCCAGTGCTTTGCGAAACTTGTTGAGTTGCGATGTCGCTGGCTGGCCTGCGGTACACATCCCATGGAGGAAGTATCTCAGGACCACAGGAGACGAAGAGCGGATCATACATCTACAGTGGCAATCCAAATGGTTTCTTCGAATGGGAATTTCGCACCAAGGTCCGCGTTGCTTTGCACAAGCAGAAACATGCGAAGAAGAAATCAGAGAAGACCTATTCGAGTCATGGAAGCCAATCAGCCACACCAGAACGTTCTCAGAGGAGGCCGACTCATGCGACCGAAGCTGGGGATGTATCAGAGGATGACGAGGCACGATTTGAAGCTTTTGGAACCCCGAAGTCCGAGAGCGTGGCAGGAGAAGAAGAACCAGCTCTGAGCACTGCCGGACTGGATGATGATGGAGCAGAGTATGCAACACTTGTCCACAAGGTGTTGGAAGGTCTGAGAGGTGATGCATACCTCACAGCTCAAGACATGGGATTGGAGAAGTTGTTGACTCCAACTGGCATTGATGAGTTGATATCGCGTATCCGTGCACAAGTTTTTCCACTTCGACAACAAGAAGCACGAGAGTTGTTCAGAGTGGGTCAACTCCCACATGGTCCCTTGTCTCGCCAAACGACAGAAAGCATGACTAGCTACATTTCACGAAGACGTCGTTGGTGGAGGAAGCTTTTGGAGATGGATGATGGGGTAAGTCTTTCAGACCCCATGCGTGGTGAGCTACTTCTGGAAGGTTCTGGCTTGAGCAAGACAGAACAGCTCATGATCAAGACAGCTGCAGGCGACAACCAATCCTTTGACGTCTACGCCAAGTTCTTGCTTGAATTCCATGGACAGATTCACTTGCGCAGCTGGTCCGCTTTTGGTAATACTAGCCCTCGGAGGCAGAAAGGCGGAGGCAAGTTTTTGGGCAAGTCTTCCTACAAAGGAGGAAAAGGGCGCAGTTGGCAAAGATCTGCGTACATTGTTGAAGATGACTCTTGGGACTATGAAGATTCCTATGAAGCAGAAGCAGAGGACGACTATGAGCATGAAGCTTATGTCGCAGCAGAAGATGAAGAACCAGATGATGAAGAACATGAAGACTATATCGAAGACCCTGAAGTTGCCACAGCGTTGATGGCAATGGGAGAATGTGATGATGAAGAGAACGATGTCTCAGAGGAACTGGGCAGCGCAGCCCAGCATCAAATGATGGCCTTTGTCGTGACTGACCAGTTGAAGGGCAAAAGCAAAGGCAAAGGTAAAGGTTCAGGAAAGAAAGGTGGAAAGAGCAAGGGGAAAGGCAAGTATGTGTTCAAGACACAGTTGAGCGTGCAGGACAGGATTGCACGTCTAGCAAAGTTGAAGTCAGTGTCCAAATGCTTGCGTTGTGGAGGAAAAGGACATTGGGCAGGAGACCCAGCTTGCAAGTTCCCCAAGCAGAACGACAAGTCCCCTGGAGGAACGTCGTCGACGAGTAAAGCCACAGCCTATTTTGCATTGAGTGATGATGAGTCTTCTGTTGAAGGTGAATACATGTGTGTTGATGTCAGTGGTCAAACTGTCGAAAATGGTACGTGCTACATGGCATACAAGATGTCCCCAAAGAAGAAGCTTGAGTTCGAACCGTCAGACCGTGCATCCATGTCGTCAGGAGTGACCAGCAGTCCACCGTCTAGCTTTTCGATGGTCGAGCCGAATGTCCGTCGGTCACCGCAGAAGTCCCCGCCGGTCACGCGTAGGAAGAAGGACATGGAACAAGACTTGTTGCCTGAAGGTTCGCAGAATGTCTTTGTGTTTGGTCAGCATCAAGGTTTGACATATCATGAAGTGTTGTTCAAATATCCTGGATACTATCAATGGGGATCAGGCATTTCGCACCCTTCGCGTTGTTTGGCAGATTTTCTGACCTGGGTGACCACGTACTATGAAGTCAGTCAGGACGGAGACGTAAGCCTGAGAGAGCATCCATTGACAGATGTGCCAGTAGAGGCAATTCGACGTACTGGAGACAAGAGTGCCAAGGGAAAACCACCAAACCCCCCGCTAGAGGAATCATGTCGTCGTTGCACCAGATTCACATTTCAAGGTTCAAATGCCTATGTTGAGAACAAGACATGCCTTGACTGCGGAAGGAATGAAAGAAAGAAGAAAGAAAGCAAACCTTCGGCCGACCCCGCAAAGTGCAAGCATGAGGTTACAGATCGTCGAGGCAGTTCGAAAACCACGTCTCGTTGGTACTGCAAGTTGTGTGGAACCACTGTTGACGAGATGCCCCGAGAAGAGGCGCGTAAGAGAGAGGCAATGGCAAAGAGTATGGTAGGCATGCGCACCAATGCATTCGACACGACAGCATCCATGATTGAGAATGAAATCAACGATGCATGCATGTCAGCTGAAGGAACTCTAGAGGTCATGGAGATGTTTCGACAAGAGGTTGAGTGTGAGTTAGAATTTGGAGAACCTGTGAGGGTTGGCGTCCTGTTCGAGATCCTTGCCAATGCCGTGGAGGTCATCAGAGAGGCCGCACCGGAAACTTGCTACATGGGACTGTTGTCGGATCTCAATGAAGCCACAATTGAAAACACACTTCGTCTTGTTGACATCATGGAAGACCCTGGAGTCTGGGCTGTGTTGGATGAAGGATGTAATGCAACTGTGTGTGGACAAGCATGGATCCAAAACGCCAAAGACAAGTATGCACGTCTTGGGTATGATGTAGCTGATTTGCAGTGTGACTCAAAAGCTTTCCGAGGACTCGCCGGAGACACCAAAACTTTGGGCAAGTGTCGAATTCCATTTGCTTTGACCTTTTTGGACCCCGAGACGAAACTTCCGGGAGTCATGGAGACACATGTTGTTGATGGGAAGATTCCATTGCTTTTGTCACAGCACGCTCAAGCTGCATTGCATTTCACGAAATCTATGGGTGATGCCAAGTGCTATGTAGGAAATGCAGAACTTGAACTGTGCAGAGCTAGGAACTCAGGACTTCTATGTGTGAACCTCTCAGAAGGTCTCAAGAGCCTAAAGTCCAAGAGACTCCCAAAGCAACTTCGAGAACTAAAGAACACGGATTATGGCATGAGCTTCAACATTCGTCCATCAGATCAGTTGACTGCATTCATGGCT